AACCGCGCGCCGCCTCTCACGCGTACCCCCTACCACGAGCGTCTGACCAACGCGACGGAATACTGCCCACCCCTTCCAATTTTCAAATCCAGCGCGTTAGACCAACCGAGTTGAGCCGAGAGCATACCACGCCACGCCGCGCCGGGCCGAGCCGAGCGGTGCCGAGCCGCCCGAGCGCCACCGCGCCAGCGGAACAATAGCCCGCCAGGTCGCTTACCTCCGTATACCTGACTCGCGCCAGCGGAACAATACCCCGCCAGGTCGCTTCCCTCCCTATACCTGACTCGTAGTCTTGGGGTTAGCGGACTCGCTCCGCAATCCGAAGGCTGCGGGTTCGATTCCACTCTCCGGCAAAAGCATTTTTGGCTGTGACGTCACAACAAGATTGCCCACTCCAGCACCGCGACCAAGTGCCCTGTGCCATCTGAGGCGTGCCTTGGCTGTCCTTTGCTCCCCCCTCCCAGGCCGCGACCAAGTGCCCGCAACCAGGTCCCCATTATACTACTGACGGGCAGTCAAATCCAGCAATACGTGCGCCTTTCGCGTGTATTTCGCCGTCGGAAAGCAATTTCAAGAAGAGTTGTACTGTATATATACATTACGGTGAATGCCACCGTAAGCTTCAGATTTCTAGACCTTTCTTAGTGACGGTGCCAGTGCAAGGGGAACGGGCTTGTGCCGGACCGCGCTTTGCGTCCACGACGCTCAACGCCCAAGCGCTCAGAGCATCGTCTCGCTCGGAAGTCGGCTGGGTCGGACCGGACCGGGACGCCGCGGGGAGGAAAAGGGAAGGGGTGGATGGAAGAAAATTGTTATTTCCAGCAGCTTTCCTTTCCAGTGGGGCTTGGCGCGGCGTGGCTGGCTGGGCTCTCCAGCCATCAGCTGGAGAACTGCTGAATAGCCCCCCGGTGGACGGGACGGGACGGCGGACCGCGGCGGGACCCCGCAGGAGCGGGACGCTGGGACCAGACCAGAGCCGAGCGGGGAGTGGGGCGGGGGGGCCTCACTGGGTAGCCTAGCTGGGGCTGGGCGTTCGGAAAGTTGAGAGGTGTGACTTAATGGATTCCAAACGGGAATGAAACGAGGCGAGAGAGAAGTAAAGTTGACGAAGCGCGAGGCAGGCGCGGCGCGCGGACGGCCGACGATTTCTCCGGCGACGTTTCGAAGTAACACGCCGATTTAAATAATAAAAAAATAAAGTGAAAGTCAATCTAGAGCGAGAGGCGCTGCTGCCGGAGCAGGTCGGAGACACCGCCGCGCCGCGGCGGTAACGGACAGACGGGAATGTTATTTGACAAAATGTTAAGCGATGGTTCCAGCTCCAGAGATGAGGCAGAGGGACGCTGAGTGCTGGAGACAAAGATAATTGCAGTACTTTTTGTCAGGCGCTACACTGTTGTATGAGAATTAAAGTTTCTCATACCCAGAGAGTCTTTTTTCGAAGCCAATTTTGTAAATAGTACCCCAATTAGTCAACAACTAGGTTTGATGATGAGTACAGAGTACATTTTGGTTACGTCACGTCGCCACTTATTACAAAGCCCGTGTCCCGGACTCCTCCACACGTGAAACTTTACAGACATTCCCAGGAACACGTCGAGCTGGAAGGCATCCCAGGTTGGTGAGAGATATCACTGTTTGTTGTCCAAGATCCAGAAGTGAATTGCGCGCATCTACTGAAACTTTAATCGGCGATTTAATTTTAAAGATAGACAGGAATAAGAAAAGGGGGGAGGAAAGAGAAAGAGCTAAGGGAGGGATAAGGAAGGACTGTAAGAAGAGAGAGGGGGAGAGAGTGAGACAGACTTCCCAGTTATTATTAACTGAGAGCAGAGCGTATAAAAGGCGAAGGGCTCTGACTTTGCTGACTCGCTAACGAGGGAAACAAATTGAATCGAACTGTGCTGCGCCACGCCACGCTTGGCCACGCCATCTGTGAACCTGTATTGGAAACGCCAGGGCATGCTTCCGCTCCCACCTGCTGAGTTAGCCCCCCGCCCCCACCTCCACCAGCCGCCATCCGCCAAGCAGCAAACCTCGACCACTCACCTCGACCCACTTACTCTTTTTCAATTCAACCCCCTCCCCCACCCTTACACCTCACCGCACTGCCCGCCAGCGGAGGCAAGAAGAAATAAATGTAATTATTCTTATATTTAGATATAAAAAACGCTTTTCCCTTTCACCCTATAGAGAGTTCGGCACGCCGTTCTCGCGCGAGTCTATTTCGATCCCCACCCCGCTAGACTCACGTGTGATTGGCTGGTGCACTGGAGCAGCGAGCGGCGCGACCAATCGCCGTCCGACCGACCCGGCCACATGACCTGGCCAAGCAGCCCGGCGGAGCTGACTCAGCTTTCTGTTGCGTCCATGTCGCAGACACGCTCTGCCCCCGTGTCTGTTGTCCGACAGACGATAGTAGCATGAGAGAAGAAGATATCTGATGATGCGTGCAACCACGGTAAAAACGTAGTCCCATTTTTTGAGGGAATAGGGAAAACTTTGAGGGAGTCAGTAACTTTGAGGGATCTTCCTTGAAAAATAAGAACGACCCTCAAAGTAAGTCACAAATTTTGAGGAAGTCCCTCAAAGTTAGCGTGGCTGCTGCTGCGTCCACCTCGCTATTTTAGAGCTTTGTAACAACTGATCAAATTGTCAGTTGGTCAAATTTAATGTGTTTCTCTTAGTTTTAGAGCTGCGGAACTCGTCCTGCAAAGTTTGATGTGTGTACGGTGAGAAAAAACGAAACAGATTTTTTGAATGGTTTACGTGCTTTCAGACGTACTTACACACGTGAACCATTCAAAAAATCAGTTTCATTTCTTCTCATTGTACACGCATGAAACTTTGCAGGACGAGTTCCGCAGCTCTAAAACTAAGAGAAACACATTAAATTTGACCAACTGACAATGTGATCAGTTGTTACAAAGCTCTAAAGTAGCGAGGTGGACGCAGCAGCAGCCACGCTAACTTTGAGGGACTTCCTCAAAATTTGTGACTTACTTTGAGGGTCGTTCTTATTTTTCAAGAAAGATCCCTCAAAGTTACTGACTCCCTCGAAGTTTTCCCTTTTCCCTCAAAAAATGGGACTTCGTTTTTACCGTGACTGGCAACCACTTGTTTTTAGTGTTTAGTTTTACACCTTGTTGAATACCTGTGGGTGTTTCAGGGAAATTTGCGAGTACCTGCAAGTTTGTGAGGATGATAATTTGAGCTGATCACTTAATTCGAAACGTTAACATTCGAATTCGAAGTTTTAGACCAATAGAAAAATTGTAAGTTCTCAAATTTGCGGTGAAACACCAGCAGGTATTCGTGGAGACGGATGTCGCTAGTGCTTTCCAGTTGCGTACTTATCGCAGAAATCAGTGTAATTAGATACGTGATCGGTGTCGAGCGACAGATTAACCTCCCCACCTTCATGCACTTTGCGCGTACCCACACTGCTGCTTCTCTGCGGCGGATTCCGCGAAGGGAATGAAAAGGTGCCAGTGCAGCAGTTGTCCAGACAGTGCTGCAGGCTGGTGCAGAGGGTGGGGAGGGGGAGAGAGGGGGCACTGCTGGAGTGCGCAGCGCCTCTTGGAGTTGGCGCCGTCGCGCTGGCGAGGGGTGGGGTGTCGCCCGGGCGGCGACGTACAGGGG